ATAAACATCTCTTTACAAATAAACTCAAAGATTAAAATCCCAGGTAACAAAAATCTGAGTAGCATGTTTTAAAAGTAGCATCTTTCTTGGGGCCAGCAGGTGGCGTGATAGTTAAGGTGCTAGACTTCCACAGATGACTTGAAAAATCACACCAGGTGCACGTGCGAGCACACCAAAACCCCAAAAGAAGGGACTGCAGCATGGCCATTCCCCCGGGGGGTGATTTCTCACTTTCCTTCTCTCTGTGTCTCTCTGTGTGTCTTTCCAGCAAGCTCATGTGTCCTATAGCAAAAACCTAAACACCCTATAGCAAAAAAACAAAGCAAAAAGATAGTCTTTCTCAACCCTGTCATTGGCAACTGCATGTCCCAGGGACACAGTAAACATATCCTCTGTGAGCCACACCTGGACTCCTAAGGAGTGATAGCAATAATTCTGAAGGGACTGCTGCAGGCGAGGAAGACAGTGGAGGACCAGCCCACCAGTAATGAGCGAGGAAAAGGTCCATTCAGAAATGCCACCACTCTTGCTTCAAGCAGCCTTTTCAGAAGGTATTTGAGGGCATGCCTCTGAGTGTTTCCTCAACTCATCTGCAAGACAAAGGTGGCAAGAAGTTTTCCCAAAGGGCTGGAAATTGAGTTGTTCCCTCATTTCTTCTCATCACTTCATGTCACAGGGAGTTTTTGCACTAGTACCAAGCTCACGGATAGCAGGCAACACTGGCTTGTTTCAACATAAACTTGGACATAGGCAGGCCATCAGTCAGAATCAGAGGGTGACTCCTTGCCCGTTGTTTAGTTAAACATCACTCAGTGGCCCTCAGTGAAGACCTGCTTGAGTCTCATTCTTGCTTCACTCAGATGACCAAGGTTAACTTTCCCTCCCCTCTGGATTGCCTTCTGGTTCCAGAAGGGTTCTTAGGACTGGTCTTGTCCTGTCCTTTTCTTATACCAAAAGATAAAATAACTGACAGCTGGCAAGACAGAAATGGCCCAGAGAGGCAAGGGACTTGTCCCACAGCTTGTTCTGCCGACATGTAAAAATTGGGTGCTCTAAGTTAAAAAAAAAAGTACAAATTCAGAAAAATTATTACTTTTTAAAAATGAGATTATTCAGCAACACCACCAGGACTTTCTGGTAATGGATGGGAGATAAGAATTGGACATAACAGAGATGTGAAAATTAAAGGAACAGGCTGCATCTAAATAAGAGAAGCCAAGTGGATTCCACTGATGCCATGAGCAACAATTAAGAAAATGCCTTTGTATTTGTTAAGGAGGTATATTAGAATGTTACTAGCTAGAGGGACCAGCAGTTAGCATAATGGCTATGTCACTGGACTCCCACGTAGTTCACTGCGGTTCGAGTCCTGGATCCGGCGGCTTAAACTCACGCCGGGCATGTGTGCGTGCGGGCCCGCCCAAAATCCTGAGAGGAGAATGGAGAAGAGATTGCAGCGTGGCCATCCCTCCTGGGGGGTGATTTCTTGCTTTCTGTCTCTCTGTCTCTCTGGCAAGCATACACGCCCTATAGCAAAAACCTCTCCAAAAAAAAAAAAAAAAAGAATGTTACTAGCTAAGTGTATAGAAGATGACAAGGAGTTAAAAAAAGGAGGGGGAGGGGATTGGGGCCAGCTGGTGGTGTAGTAGTTAAGGCGCTGAATCCCACATGGCCAATTCCATGGTTCGAATCCTGGACCAAGTGATTTAAAAATCACACCAGGCACATGTGTATGTGTGCCTAAAGCCCTGAGAGAACAGAGGAGAAGGGACTGCAGTGTGGTCATCTCCCCTGGGGGATGAGTTCTCACTTTCTCTCATGCCCGCTCTCCAGCAAGCACGTGCGCCCAATGGCAAAAGTCTAAAAAGAGAAAAGAAAGGGAATGGATAAGACCGAAATGAGTTAAGTGGGCTAAACAAAAGATGAGGTTTCCCATGAGTGGCCATAAAAGTTGGAATTTAGCTATGATAAAGGACAAGCGACATTCGGCAGCAGCAAGCTTACATATGTTCAACTAGACTGGCGTGAAGAGTATTCTTGCTGGGTAACTCATTTCACAAGCCATAGTGATATACAGTGATTGTATGAAATGATGTAAAAAGAAAAAATAAACTAAAAACCACATAGGTATTAATCAAAAATAAACAGTTTGAAATCTCACCTTTTGGTAAGTGGTTCCTAAAAGATTTTTATAAATGTCTGTTAATTTCATCATTCTTATTTGTAGCTTTCAGTTTTTAATCGAGAAGTTGGATTTTATCAGACATTGTTGAGTAAGTTGAAGTGATCCTTTTTTTTTTTTTCTCTAAATTAAACTTTCTCATGGTAATAAAAAAAAAAAAGAGAGAGAGAGTTGTTAATGTAAAAGAAAGC